CATGTTTTTGGCTCCAGATGTTTCATCTTCAACTCCAAAGAACAACAGAACAAGTTCGATGTGAAAGCTGACGAAGGTATATTTTTGGGATATTCACTAACATCAAAGGCATATAGGGTTCTCAACAAACGCTAAAAGAAAATGGAAGAAACCTACTATGTTACGTTTGACGACATTTAATTAAAGCAAATTCAGTCGACCAAAAGTCAAATCAAAGAAATCTTTCCTAAACCAAGTCCAGCCATTATTCCTGTGTCCAACCTTTATGAAGAATTCATGTTACTCTTCGACAAACCTGTGAAAGCCATCTCATCGGAAGCGAAAGCATTGGATAATAAAGTCGACGAACTTAAGAAGATTATCGATGTTGCTGCGAAAGACTTGCCTCAAAAGCCTTCTACTGCGAATGACCCTCAAGACACGGGCACACATTTCCAGGGGGAGAATTCTGGTTCTAACACTCAATTCCAGGGGGAGGTTTTCCCATCACCCATTTCTACTGAGTCTCCTTCTGATGGAGATAAATCCCCACCCACTTTGACGTATGAACCTCCATTCGCAGGTGATGATTCAATTCCTGAAGTCAACGAATTTTCTTCATTCGAGGGGGAGAATAATGAAGCGAATGATGACTCAGACGCTAAATCAGTTCAATCTGAATTTGAGGAAGTCAATGCTGAGCTGAATCCATCCTTAGATCCAAATTACCCTCCTATTACCAAATGGACAAAAGATCACCCAAAAGCTCAAGTTCTTGGTGAATCCTCTGTAGGTGTTCTAACTCGTTCTCAACTGAAAGCGAAACAAACTACATTATTCTCCAAAGTAGAATTTTGTATGTTTAATTCGTTCGTATCCAAGATTGAACCCAAAACCTATAACTCTGCTCTTGATCACTCTGATTGGGTGAAAGCAATGCAAGATGAACTCAATGAGTTTGAGCGAAACAAAGTTTGGAGACTAATTCCAACTCCTCCAGATGCATCGGTTGTTGGTTTAAAATGGGTGTTTCAGAATAAAATGGATAAAGAAGGAAATGTGATCTGAAACAAAGCTAGACTGGTAGTCAAAGGTTATTGCTAGGAAGAAGGGTTTGACTACGAAGAGACTTTCGCACCCGTAGCAAGATTGGAATCCGTTCGCATCTTCTTGGCATATGCAGCACACAAAAACTTTGAAGTTTTTCAAGTGGATGTGAAGTGTGCATTCTTAAATGGTGAATTGGAAGAGACCGTTTATGTGGAGGAACCGCCTGGGGTTATAAATGAAAAGTATCCCAACCACTCTTACATTCTTGACAAAGCGGTTTACGGTTTAAAGCAAGCTCCAAGAGCCTGGTATGAAACACTAACTCGTTTTCTTAAAATGTCCAAATTCAAGCAAGGTTCAGTTGACCCAACCTTCTTTCGCAAAAAAACAGGGTGACCACTTGATGATCATACAAATTTATGTTGATGACATCATCTTCGGATCTACTAATCCCAGCCTAACAGTTGAGTTCCGAAAGCTGATGGAAACTAAATTTGAGATGAGCTCAATGGGTCCAATTAACTTTTTTCTTGGATTAAACATTAGACAGGGACCGGAATGAATTTTCATCAATCAGGAGGCTTACACGAAAACCTTACTAGCTAAGTTTGGAATGATGGAAGACTCAAAGACGAAGGTTCCAATGACATTCGGAACGAAACTAACTCCTTCGCTGTATAAACCAGCTACTAATATGACCCTTTATCGTCATATGATTGGTTCACTCAAGTATCTAATAGCTAGTAGACCAGATATCATGTTTTCAGTTTCTAATTGTGCTAGGTTCCAAGCAAAGCCACGCGAACCTCATATGGTGGTTGTCAAGAATATTTTCTGTTATCTAAAACGAACGTCATCTCTTGGAATTTGGTATCCTGCGAACTCGGGTTTCTTTGTACAAGCATTTTCAGATGCTGATTTAGGAGGCTGCAGTTTAGGTAGAAAAAGCACAACTGGTGGATGCCAATTTCTCGATGGCAAGCTGCTCAGTTGGCAATCAAAGAAACAAACATGTGTTTCGTTGTCAAAAGCTGAGGCTGAATACATAGCTGCAGCTTCGTGCACATCTCAAGTCATTTGGATTCAAAGGCAACTTAGCGACTATGGCTTGAACATGAAAAGATATCCTCTCTATTGTGATTCCGAAAGTGTCATTCGCATATATCACAACCCAGTGCAACACTCAAAAATGAAACACATATCACTGAGGTATCACTTTATCAAGGATCATGTGGAAGATGGCAATGTTGAGATTCATTTCGTAAGATCCGCTGATCAATTGGCTAACATATTCACCAAGGCCCTACCTGAAGCAATATTTAATCGAATCCTTCAAGGACTAGTAATGATGGAAGCTGATTCAGTACCAAATCCACTATAGCATTCATAAAATCTTCACTGCGAATCGGTGCGAACGTTCGCAGGCTTTCGCAGTCCACTGTTCATTAATAGTCTATTTTATCGATGTGAATCAATGCGAACGTTCGCAGTAGTTCCCAGGGCACTGTTCATTCTTGGTTTGGTATCTCACGTATCCTTTTGTATATTTTGTGTATCTTTGCAACCTTTCGTAGTCTACTATTCATTAACGTCTACTTTTAACTTTATTTTGTTTCATTTTCAGAAAGACTCCAAAAACCAAAAATAAATTATGTAATTTCTTTTAGTGCTTTTAAATAAATAAATAAATAAATAAATAAATAAAAATTTACTTTGTGTTCATTTTCTTTGCACACCAAGATCATAGAAGAAGATGTTCGCAAACTCCATCCACTCATGTGATAGGGCAGGTATGAATCTCCTTACTTATGTACTAGCTAAGTGCCCCTAGAAGCATGTTGTTGTATGTTGACCTAAGCCTCAACGACTCGACTATGATGCCTTAATGAGTTGATGCCACCAATCAATTCTTCCCAATCAGGCTGCGAATTCATATCAGTCATGAGCTACCTTATTCTTCTCACATTAAGTTAAGAGTTATCTGCATGGTCACATTCGAAGTTCAAAGGTACTTTCGCTTTCTTGTAACCATCTACTCTCTTCTCCATCACTTTCGCATTCATTAATGTAACCCTTGAGATTCTCAGAAATTACCACTGAGGTTTATGGTTATGCAAAAATTAGTGCTAATGATCTTAGTCTCGTTCAACCATGAACTGAGTGAAACCCAAAATTCAATACCCACAATGAATTGACGGTGAACAATCAAATGTTCTAGTTTTCACCCAAGTTTTAACGAAACCACTTTCGTGGAAGGTACCATGAATTTTTTTTTGTGATGTTTATGAACTTGTCTAACACCAAGGCTTTTCTAACCAAAAAGATCCGGTTTATTTTTTTAAGATTTCAATATTGTTCCAAGTCACAGAAAATAAATTCCCAACCTACTCGTTCAACTGACTACACTGGTCACACGAGTACCTTTTCCAACTTTCGCACTTATGTCAAGTTTGTAGTTTGGTTAACGGATAAACCACCTTGATAAGCCTTACGCAAAAGATGGATTTCAGTGTTTCTATTCAAACAACTAATCGTATTCAACAGGAAACCAACCAGACACTTCTTAGTCTCTCTTGACTATGAAGAAAGAGATATTTGTCTGGGATCAATAGTTTTATGTCACATGTACGACATCACAACATCCCACAGATAAACTTTGTTTTATTTCTTTTTCTTTGACACTCTTGCACGAAGATCCTTGTGATTTTCAAAAGTCTTGTTCGTGGTTACAATTAACTTTCAGGTTCGCAGTCGTATGTATTCAACGAGATTTCTTCACTACAAAAAAAAAAGATAGGCTGACGCGGAAAATTTTTAAAGATCAGAATTGAAACGGACGTGTGTAAAGTTGAACGGACAGCTATTCTTACGCCGCGGGACGCAAGCCTCTGACTTGTCATAGTTGTCAAATCGCGCTTTTCCAGGCGACGATTCAGTATTCGAGATACTCTCTCCGGATTTTACTCACCAAATCAAATTGTATATAAGGATTTTGACGGTTCATTATTTCATTACCACTTTCAAAATTCTCTCAAAGATTTATGGCGATTAAAAGGCTCTCTACTGTTCATCTTCTTCAAGCTTCATCAATGGCGGCTTCATCTGAGTATCAGTCTCTTCACAATCAAACTGCTCTTTCCACTCTTCTTACAGTGAAGCAACATCAAAATCTCATCATCGATTTGGATCCGGTAAAATATGATGCCTTTCTTCTACCTCTGATTGAGTGCTTGAAACACTCTCCTCTTACCATTGCTATGTCTCAAGTTGAGAATGTTCCTCTCTCGATTCTCTCTAAAGCATATACCACTGCCAACTATGTCAAGGACAAGCAACACATCTACTTCGACATCCATAATCACACAACCTCGATTTCCAAGACCCATTTCTGCAATCTGCTAGGGCTCCCACAGTCTGACAATCTGGTCAATCCGGAAACCATCCCCAACGCAGCCATCTTGGAAATGTTCTATCAAATGGGGTACAAGGAAACACTCACTGCTGTATCCAAGTTCAAGAAACCCAATCTTCCACCAACTTGGAACGCCCTTTTCACCATCTTGTTCAAAGCCTTTTCTGAAAGGGTCACAGGCAACGACTATGCAAGCAAACTCTTCATGGGTCTGATGTATGGCCTATTCACAGGTGAAAACGTAGATTATGGTTCTATCCTGTGGGCTCAATTCATCCAGAGAAGTCACTCTGTTACTCGTCACAGTGAGATCTCCTGTGCGTGTTTTTGGACCGTTGTTGTAAACAGGGCTATTAAGCAGCTCAGAATTACAGTGATGACTGATGCACTGATGGCTTCCAGTGCGACATTCCATACAACCGGTATTATTATGGCAGATAATTCCAAGTTTTTTTTCATTGACTCAATTCCGGAAGCACTGTTTCGTGATGTTCCTCTCTCAAGTAAAATTCTAGAAGGATATCGTACTCTTACTCCTTCATCCCTCATCCTTTAACTGATGAATTTCAAGCTATTTTGGCTGAGGCAGATAAACCCAAGAAAAGGAAAAAAGGGTCAAAGAAACCTTCTAAGAAAGACTCTACGAAAGAAGGAACTTCTAAGACTTCGAAACCTACATCTAAGAAGTGAAAGGCTCCCACTACCTCTACTGCTGCACCAAAGCGAAGGAAGCAAACCGCTAGAAGGAGAAAGTCTCCTACTCCTACTCCATCTCAGAGTGAAGACGAAAATTCAGATTCTAATACCGAGTCGGAGATTCGCATTGAGGAGGATCCCCATGTTCGCAATGAAGAAGATGAACCCATTCGCACTAAATAATAAGAACACGTTCGCAATGAGGAAGAAGAACAAGTTCGCACTGAGACCCCGTTTCCTAATCGTGAGGTAACTCCACCGCTTAATGATTCTATTCCTTCTCCACCTCCCTTGCAAAAAACAACTACTTCTATACCAATCACCATTGCTCCTCTCCCCCACCTGTATCAACTCAAACAATCACGACCATTCCAATTTCCATACCTATTTTCACGGATTCTACAGTTCCACCTCAAACCTCAACTGCACCTGTAAGTTCAGTTAACGTATCTGATACAGGGGTCAATACTTCAGGCTTTTCCACTCATGTTACACCACCCATCTCTTCCATTTGCAAAGATGACCCAGAAATGATTTTCGGAGATGATGAAGTTGATGATTTGGATGGATTCACTTACAGTCCTTTGCAAATAAGGCTCGACAATGAAGATGATGTCTCTATTCCTAAAGCGGAACTCAAATCTCTTCATGAGAAGCTTGACCAACTACTTCTCGCATCCAACGTTTCCTCTTCTGAGGCTTACTCCAAAGCTGTGGTTGAGTCTATCCTTGCACGAGTCACAAAGGAACATACTGCCAACATTTCCACTTTGTCCAAGGCAGTTTCTGACTCTGCTGTTGTTTGCAAGGAAACGACCGAAAAAATTCGATAAACTAATTGCTGACACAAGGGAATTCATGGAAGCCTACCTGGTTACCCACAACGCCAATACCACAACAACGAACAAGGCTATTCAGAATGTTGGTGCCATGTTCCAAGCAGAAAAGGCGAACTTTGCTGAACTTCGCACCGTGTTCAAGTCCGATCATGAAGCATTCCAGACTTCTATCGATGCGAAACTCACAAAGCTTCAAGAAGAGTTGGCGATGGAGAAAAAGACCATGGATGCTCTCGCGGTCAAGGAGGAAAAGTGTAAGCTGTTGGAAACCAAACTTCACTATACTGAAAAGAAGGTAGATGATTTGCTAGCAGAGAAAGCAGTCACGAGAAGTTGTATCTCTGATGTTAATGGACTGCTTTCTAATATCATTGATACCCATGATCCCATGAATTCCATCACAGTACGAAAGCATCTGGCTGAAAAGCTAAGACCGGTGTTCGCAATGTTGCACCGTTTGGAGGGTGTTTCAACACCGGTGTCTTGTCCGAAACAAGGGGGATAAGGTATTTCCAAACCTGATGAAAACCTCAAAGTTTCAGGTAAACCTCTTGTCATCAAGCCAGATCCAAAGGACAAGGAAAAGTTATTCAGTAATGAACCCATTATTGACAATGATGAACACGAAGAGCCTGATGAAACTGAGCTTAAAAGGCAGAAGGCTCGTGAAGCAGAGTTGGATGAAAATGCTTGTATCGTCAAGGAGGCTGAGGAAAAGGAAAAAGATGAAAAGGAATCTCAGGCCACTCTTAAAAGCAAAATGCTATTATTTCCAAAGAGGACCCTGAAGCGCATGCAAAACCAAGTTGTGGATATGCCAAGTCAGTATTGGTTGGATCCTATTACTTCCTTTGATGTCCAAAATACACATGATTCGCAGTTAGACCTTCCTATCACACCAAAGGCGTTCAGGTTTCATGCCTTTATAAAGGTTGCTAATGTACCTTTCTCAGACAGCACTGGGGATCAACTGTTGTTTGCCTTCTACTTGAAGCATATGAAGCCCCAGTTCGAAACTTGGAGTGCGATCAAGATTGTAGTTGTGAAGGTTACTGGGCCAATCGAGACTAAAAGCTTCCCTAATGCGAAGTTTAAAGTTGCGAGAGGATCTGCATGTCAAGCCTGCGAATTCACTCTCGCAGATCTGCCTTGCTTGAACCCCCATGACTGGATGGTGATATTCAATATTTTGTTGCGAGAGAAGGAGAAGTACGAACCTGTGTTTTCTCATCTTCAACTTTTGATCAAGTCTTACATTAAGGAAGTTGGATTGATGGATGTGGAAATTGCCACTGTTCTGAGGCAAAAACCGAGTGTTGTTCCAAAAGAAGCTCCGAAAGACTTCCAGAAGCTCAAGCCAAGAAAAATTTACAAGGAAGGATGGTTTGTGGTATACACGGCTAGAGATCGTCCAGGAGCAGGTCGACGCAAGTTATTCTTTCATCTCGAAGACAAACACTTGTTTACTACTTCTTGTTTGGAGTTTATTTTGGAGCTAGTTGTGAAGTTTTAGGGCAACAACCAAGATAATGTGAAGTGTTTCACCGATGTGATCACTTGGTACATTCATATTTTCAAGCTGCTGTTGAGTTTCATTCCCAAAGTCTACGAAGTGCAGAAGTGAATCACGAATTAAAATGGCTATGGTTTCAATTGACGCAAAGGGGGAGATTGTTGAAAATATTAGTGTTGCATCATTGGGCCTATGTTATCTAGTCCATTTTGTATAAACGAGTTGGGCATGTCCACTCGTATTTAATGCTAGGGTTATAGTATATAAGGTGCATGCATGCTACGTATTTAAGTTAAGTTTTGGATTTATCTTTGTAGCCCTAATATGCGCCTTTACAGAAGCAATTCTTCATCGAGTTCTTCTGAGGCGTGAGTATTAATCATTCAGCACCAGTTTGATCATATTGTGTTCTTTACCTGTTTTAATCTTTACGATCAATAAGGATTAATTCCTATCATAGGATCATAATAATGACTTATCACTAAAAATATAAATTACACTAAAATAAAGTTGAGTGTAGTTTAACTTACAGAGGTTTCCTAGACAAAAGTCTGGAAATTATACCGGTAGAGATTCTTCTTGATAGCTACTACTACTTCAGGGATTCCAGAGCTTTTCCGAAGACTAAAACTAAGGGAAATGAAGCTAGAACTAAAGGAAGTTGAGAGAGAATGATAGAAGAGGTGTGGAGGAATAAATGAGGCTTAGCCTCCTATTTATAGCCGATTTTGGGGTGCGCGACGTGCAATAGGGGTGCACATCATGGATTTTTAGGTGAAGTCTCCCAAATACTTTATGCCACGTGTGAGGCTCTCCGTGGTCCACATTTTCACCTTCTACAAGCGCGTGTCGCGAACCGCGCTCGGCTCAAACGTAGATTTTGTAAATTTCATAACTTCTTCATACTGACTCTATTTTCGACGTCCTTTTTTTCCATGTGTAGCTCTCCACATGTACTGCAACTTTCCTTTAGGATCATTGGCTAATTATAACTTTATTTTTAGCCCTTAGTTTGATATGATTTTTTAAAAATCATAACTCTCTCGTACAGACTCCGATTTTGGTGTTACTTTACCAAAATTCCTATCATAAAGAGTACTACGATTTTCATTGTGGTGACTGTACCCAAAAGTCAACCATTCTCTTCATACCTTTTGACGTTAATAATTTTTAATTACGTGGTTGATTTTTAAATCTTATAAAATTCATATCTCCTTCATATGAACTTGGATTTCTACGAAATTTATATTTTCGGGATCACGTCGACGTATACTTTCGAAATATTATATATATATATAATATATTATATATATATATATATATATATTATTATATATATATATATATATATTATACTTTCGAAATATTATATATATATATATATATATATATATATATATATATATATATATCTAATTATGTGTGTTTACGGAGGATTCGGTTGATTTTTTCCAATTTTTCCTAATACGAATCTTATATTATATAGTATGCAGTGCGCACGACTATAGTGATCCTATTTTGACAAAGTCACCTATTCAGAATCTTCCTATTTTAATGTTCTTATTTTATGCTTTAGTGATCCTTTGTTGATGAGCAGCAATGCGGATCCTAGCAAGATCAATGAGTTCATCGATAGTGTCAAGATCCTGGCTAGGATCATGTCATTATTCTTTTGATCCAACAATTGATATCTTATCATTGGGATCACCACTTCAGTAGGGATGATGACTTTCGTTCCAAACACCAGGGAGTATGGAGTTTGGCCAGTGGCTGTTTTTAAATTGGTCATATCTGCCCATAGGATTAAAGGGGGTTCTTGTCACACCCCGCTAAAGCGGAAACGCAAGGTATGACAGCGACAAAGGTTTCATTGCAAAAGATAAAGATACATCACCATAGCAATATTTAAAAGTTTACAACCCATAGTTTAAACAAAACAAAGTACAAGTTTTCCAAAATGACATTGTTCAAAATATAACTTCATAAAATAACTTCCACACGATGCAGCATGCTCTATGATGATGAATCTCTATATCCACTTACTAATTATTTCCTGAAAAAGCATGTAAAACGAGCGTCAACTATGAAAATAGTTGGTGAGTTCACATGTTTATAAAATCAAGATTTGGTATAAGACTTTTCATAAATACAAGTACATTGCTTTAATGAGAACAAAGTTCATTGCTATAATGAGAAACAAAGTTGATTGCTAAAATTGATAAACGAGTTTATTGCCATAATAGATAACAAGTTTATTGTTATAATGTGTAACGAGTTTGTATGTGTATGAGCAAACAATGAGTCTCAACCAAACGTATGACTGAAGCCCTATCAAGATCTATGCTTATCGTTCCATAGATGAATATGGTATCATGCACTCCAGCAATAGGGCGAGTGAGGAGTTGTCAATTCCTAATAGCGCTATCCATAATGACCATTGGCTCAAAGAGTTAATGGTTAGAGATAAGGGAAGGGCCTTAGTACGATAAGTTCTCATGTTCCGTATGCATGCATAGACAACATAGAGAGACATAGCAATAAAATAGCAATCATGTTTGATACAAATCAATTTAAATACAACATTCAAATAATAGTTTTTCGGGACATGCTTTTCCACCCGAAAACATAAAAACTGAAAATAGGGGAGTGCGTGAATACTCACAACGTTTCGAGTAGGTAAAAGGGGTACTTCGGAATGCACCAACGTCTTACTACCGGGATCCTACGACATCAACACACACTAGTGAGTTTCCATGTCGAAATCTAATGCTAATATACTAAATTCTACATATAGTGAAATGCCAATTTATGTTTTAGTATTTGATTTTATATTAATTGGTTACACTTTTGCTGAAATAATGAAATTCTACAAATTGTGCGATTAATTACAACATTGGAATA